GGATATTGTAGAAAATATTTCGCACAAATCAATTCACTAACTGCTCTGTACACAATGAGTCAATTTCGAGATTTTTCCGACCAATTAGTAATATTATAGTCCCTGAGTACTGAAAGCATATGTACTATGTATTCAAATGGCCGTTTCACAGGCATTTTGAAACAGATATAACTGTTAGGTTTTTAAAATGCTAGCTTTGTAGCGCATCAATATAATATCGATGAAATCATGCTGCTGCTAATTGAGTAATAATATACTTAAGTTTGGGTAAGAGTATAAAAAGACAGCAGCTGAATGATTCGGAACCATTTAACAATTCGAATAACATGAGCAGAAAACGAAATCAGCAATATTCATTGAACGATCTTTTACAAGCAGTCCAAGATATTAAAGCCGATAAGTCACAACGACAAGCTTCTATGGATTATAAGATACCGATCGGAACCATCAAAAGCCGTATGTCACGAAATAGCACGGGAGCAATTGGTAGACCGACAGTTTTGAGTCAATTACAAGAACAACAATTTGTCATGCTTATTAGTACGTGTGCGAAATGTCTTGCTAATAAATTTTAGTCATTTAAGGTATATTTCCATTTGATCCAATGGCAGTTTCTCCAGACAAAATAAAGGAGAAAAATATTCAACCAACTATATCGACAACATCAGATGTAACGCAATCAACAGTAGATAATAATGATATAAGTCCAGTGATTGATGTCGATGATCATAACCAAGAAACTGCTGCTCAATTACAATCTGTCCATATGAATTTTGATTTTATGGATCATTTTGATATGCCAGACGCAGGTAATGCCAGATATTAATTTATCTTTCTACCATTACTCAATTTTTTTTCAGACGATCAACAGTTAACAACGCCCTTGGATCTAACTACAAAACCATCGGGTACTATGTCGTCGACAAATTATTCAGAAATAATTAATGCACCGAATTCTCCTAGCGCTATTAATTCTTTAGCAACAGGTATAATATAATGAACTGTTTGTTATACACATACTGAATATTTCGCTTTATTTCAGCGTTAAACATTCTAATAGATCCATTATTTGCTATTAGTAACGTCGTTGCAGCACATTTATCATCAAAGTCGTCAACACCCGTCGTACAACGACGGAAAAAAATGCTTGAAAAACCATATGGTATAAGTGTTACATCTGATGAGACAATTGATATCCTAGAGAAAAAGGAGTTAGCAAAAGCAAACAGAAGTAAAGGAAAAATAAAACGTTCTACGTCGAAGAAACATCGAACCAAAACAAATA